AAAAAAAAAAAAAAAAAAAAGAAATGTTTACTATTATTTGATGACTGAATTTACGATATGAAGTGAGGCTTGGCATGGTGGCTCACTTCTGTAATCCCAGCACTTTGAGAGGCTAAGGAAGGAGGATCACTCGAGCCCAGGAATTTGAGGTTGCAGTGAGCTATGATCTCATCACTGCACTCCATCCTTGGCAACAGAACACCTGTCTAAAAAAAAAAAAAAATTCAGTCTTCCCCGTAGACTATGAAAAATAAAATAAAATAAAATAAAATAAAATAAAATAAAATAAAAAGGATAAGAAGATCCATCTCAGTAGCTCTCTCCTCAGCTCTCAAGATCTTTATACACACTTTTGGGGCACATTTTTCCACATGAGAGTAATTATTTGATTCCATCTCACCAAATGGCTGGAAGTTCCTCAAGGGCAAGGTCAATAGGACATTCATCTTTATGCCTAGACCAGAAGTAGGTTCAAAAAACATGCCAAATTATATACATACTTTTAATTAAGCCTCTCTCCAACTCAGTGTCCACCTATTTATGGGTAAAGTAAAAATTCTATTGTTTGACATAAGAGATCTATAACGTCGCTTTAACTTACATGTCTAGGTTTCTCTTCCTACACAAGCATTTCAGGCAAACCAAGCCACTATAACAGGCTGAAAAAAGAAAATCTGAATAACCACTCCACTTAAAAGTCAGTCCAGGAAGCTTTCTCTCATTTCAGCAGCTCCTCCTAACCTAGAGGTCAGAGGAAGCGAATAAGGGAAGTTAATACAGGGAAATTGGAATGGGTTTTATGACCTCTGTGAGCCAGTTTTTTCAGCAATAAAATTGGAACAGTAATAATATTGATCTTAAAGGCTGCTAAATAGGCAGGAAATATGATATAAAATGCCTAGCAATTTCATGCTGTTTTTGTAATTCAAGGAGCAAAGAGCATAATGAGGGCCAAGGAAAAAGAACCATCAGAAGGCAAGAGATTATCACGGAGCACAAGCAATGGGCTAGAACAGCAAACAGAAGAAAAACAAGCAGGCAAACAGGACTGCTCCTGACTGTCTCAACCCAGGAATAAGACCTGGATGACTCTCCCAGGTGGGTTACCCTTTTCCTAGCCTGCACTAGTGCTATCTTCTTACCAATTTGTAAGAAGATAGCACTTCTTACAAGTGCTATCTTATAAGATTGTACAATAAAATCACAGGTGTTCAGTATTAGAATAGAAAAAGAATGTAAGGCAAGCAGTATGGTGAGGAACTATACAATGGAAGGTCTTTGAAGGTTCACAGGAAGAAATGAGCTTCCCATTCCCTGGAATACCATACTTCCTGTGACTGAGGGTACTGTATTTTGTAGAGAGAAAAAAAATTGGGATGTACAGAGAAAAGGAAGATTGGAACACTACACAAGGAAAACCCTAAAGTGATTAAATCAAAAGTTAAAAGGTTGGGGCCTGAATACACATTTTGACATAATGAGAAAGATAGATAATAACAAATGTTGGTGAGGATGTGAAAAAATCTCAAAGACTGACAGATTGCTAGTAGGAATGTAAAATGGTGCAGCTGCTTTGGAAAACAGCTTGGGAGTTCTTTGAATGTTAACTTTTAGTTACCATGACTTAGCAATTCCACTTCTAGGTATTTACACAAGAAAAATGAAACATATGTCCACACAAAAACTTGTACACAAATGTTCATAGCAGTAATACTCACAATAGCCAAAATCTGGAAACAACCCAAATGTCCATTAACAGATGAATTGAACAAAAAAAGTGGTATATCTATACAACGGAATTTTATGTAGCTATAAAAAGGAATGAAATAATGGTGCATGCTACAGCATGGATGAGCCTTGAAAACATGTTAAATGAAAGAAACAAGACAGAAAAGGCCACAAATTGCATGATTCTATGTATATGAAATGCCTACAACAGTCAAATCCACAGTGAAAGTAAAGCAGCAGTTGCCATAGGGCAGGGGAAGGAAGGGGTGGAGAGTGACTGCTGATGGGCAGGCGGATTTCTTTTCAGAGTTATAAAAATGTTCTGAAATTAAGATAGTGGTGATAGTTATACACTCCTTGTAAATATACTAAAAAACACTGAATTGTATATTTTAAAAGGGTGAATTTTATGGTATGTGAAATCTCGATTAAAAGGAAAAAAAAAGAAAGCAGGGACAACCAATGATGCAGAGCCCAGCCTATGACCCCAATGAGGTATTTACTGCGTGATCTGCTGCATACCAGGCCCCTAGATGAAGAAGATGTTGGCTGACTATCCTAGAAGTTAATGCTGAGTGTGGGGAAGCTCACCCTCACTATCTGAGAGAGGTCAAGAATGACAAAACTCCAAAGCTTGGCCAATGACCCAGATAATGAAGCACAGCAATGGCTCATAGGATCACAAATTTCAAATACACCTGAACTACTGATTAGCATCTACCATGTGAAAGGAGAAAAAGAAAAAGAGAGGTGGGTATAGAGAAAATTAAGATACATGCCTCTGGCCTCACACTGCTTAAATTTTTGTTGTGCAGATATTCAAAGATAAATGTGCTACTCATTTCTATTTTGTTAAGGGCAATGTAGACATATTATTGTGCCACTTGATGTTAAAAAAAAACAACCCAACTAATTAGATATGCCTAAATAGCCATAATCTACTGTTACCACAAAGTAAACACTGCAAATGAAAGTTGCAAATAAAAAGAGTACTCTAAATCTGCAGTCCCCAACCCCAGGGCTGTGGAGTGGTACTGATCCATGGCCTGTTAGGGACTGGGCCGCAGAGCTCCACCATGCCACCCAGTGGCTCCCCATCCCTCCCCCCATCACTGTTTGAGCTCCAACCACCCCCCGGCCCAGCCCCCATCTGTGGAAAAATTATCTTCCATCAAACTGGTCCCTAGTACAAAAAAGGTTGGGGACCACTGCTCTAAATAACATGTAAATAATTCTTGTGCAGGACTATTTAATCTACACCAGAGGTGAGCAAACCTTTTCCGTTAAGGACCAAACAGGAAATAATATAGCCTTTGTGGGTCACATGGTCTCTTTTGCTATTACTCTGCTATTACTGTGCAAAAGCAGCCATAGAAAATACATAAATGAACATAAATGAATAAACATAGCTGTATTTCAATGACATTTATGAATAATGAAATTTGAATTTCATGTAATTCTCACATCACAAAATATTATTCTTTTGATTTTTCTCCCAATCATTTAAATATGTGAAAAGCATTCTTAGTTTGTTGAGCCATACATAAAGAGGCAGCAGGATGTGGGGGTGATCTAGCTGGGACATCAGTCACCCCACTAATTGCCAGGGTTGATTCTGCTGATCTGGCTGGCTAGGCAGGTGTTCCCTTCCTTCCTCACCGCTCTATGTGTGTCCCTCCCAAAACTGTGTGTTCACGCTCGGTTGAAGAGGATGACCTTCCCCGATAGAGGAGGACCGTTCTTTGGTCAAGGGTGTGTACGAGTAGCTGTGTTCCCCTACCAGAACCTCCAAACAAGCTCTCGAGATCTGTAAAGAGGCAGTAGGCAGGATGAAGCTCATGGGCCATAGTTTGCCTAGAGAGCCAGAAACCAGTTGAATCTATCAGAGACTATCTACAGCAGTGTATTCCTGGGTCCTGGAAGCAAGGGGATCCCAATTACATTGGCAATTCCTATTAACTCCCCATGCTTCAACTTGATTCTGACCAAGAGGCAATATAATTTTAATTTGGTTTCACATGTAATTTCTCCTTAGAAAAGAATGTTCCAATATCTAGAACATAAATATTTTGATATAACATTCAAATTTATCACCATAAATTAGCATGAAATATTGGTTTTATGTTTCTCCAAAAATCTCATTAATGAGAGGTCAGATACTGTTTTGTGTCCTCTACATGGTACCTGAGGGACAGCCCTTCACCTGAAACACTTTCAAAATCAATGTTCTGTGCCTACAAGGCTGAAAGCCAAATACAGGGCTTGGGAGGTATCCTGGCTACCAGGCTGCTGCTGTTCCAATACTCCTTATGTCTCTTCCTCCTAATTTCTACACACAGGAAAACAAAGTTGAGGATGGAAGATGCTGGGCAGACAAGAAGAAAGGAGCTTTTAAAGCTTCTACAGCAGCTCAATATATATAGGAAAGGTGCTTTCACAAGCCCGCATAGCAAACTGATAGAATTTATCTCAGTAGGATCATTAACATATTTATCTTGGGTTCATATATACAAAGTACCGACAATCTTTTTCTTTTTGACAACTCATGAAATAAGGAATTAAAAAGGGGATGGAGAGTGAGATGGCTTCTAGCAGCCTAAGGCCTCCTCCCTGAGAGGAGCTTCCCCCGCTTAAATTCCAGTCTGGAAAAGCTTAAGACTACCAAAAGAATTTACTATTTGTTCCAGCCAACATCTGAAGATAGGACCCAGACCTCTCTTTCCTATTTATTAAGAAAACTTACAATTGTAAAATCTTCCTCTGTCCCTTTAAGATGTATATGTATTTCCTAAGACCTGGGATTGTCTTTCTTAAGGATCTGAAAGTCATTTCTGTGAAATGCAATCATCAGAAAGGTAAAAGACTCTATCTCCCAGACTCTGTGGGAGGGGAGAAGCCTAACTTCTCTTAATGCCAGTTAGTAGACACAAATAGCATAATTAACTGTGAACAACCTTCTTACCTGCTTTTTGTAATTTTTCCCTTCGCTAACATTGCTCAAGCTTTCCCATTACCCCCACTCGTCTCTTCCTACTCCCTCTTTCTCCCAGTCATCTCTGCACAAACTGGAATCCAGCACAACTCTTTACTGCAATAGCTGCTGAATAAAATCTATTTTTATAGCCTTAAACCAGTGTCAGGCTTTATCTTTGTTTGATAAGGAGAGTCCTCGGAGATCATTCTGATCCAAATCTTTATTTTATAATTGAGAGACATGAAGCTGAAAGTGATTCACTTATCTGGTTGATTCCACAAATATTTGCTGTGTGCCTACTTACATGGCAGGAATTAGTCTAGGAGCTGGGATACCACAGTGTCAAGACGACAACCTATCATCATGGAGCTTACATCCTATGAGGTAGTCAAACAGGTAAACTAAGAAAATAGCAAGCAGTGAAGATGCTATGCTGAAAATAAAAAAGAGTAATGTGATACAGAAAATTTGAGCACTACTCTGGATTAGTTGCTTACTGAAGGTCTCATTAAAAATTTGACATCTGACATAAAAAGTTGAAATATGACTGATAAAAGAGAAATCAACCACAAAAAGATCTGGAGGAGAATGTTCCAGACAGAGAAAACAAGCTAGTATAAAGGCCTTAAGTTTTGGCATATTAGAAAACAGAAAAAGGAAAAATGTACATGAAGTACAATCAGGGGGAGAGGGGCAGGAGATAGGTTGGAAAAAGTAACCAAAGGCCAAATCATGTAGGTGAGAGTAAGGAATTAAGATTCTATTTCAAAATGATGGGAAGCCACTGGAGGATGTTAAATGGGGGAATAATATAATCTGATTTACGGTTCAAAAACACAGCTGGGCAAGGCATGGTGGCTCACAACTGTAATCACAACACTTTGGGAGGCCAAGGCAGGAGGATGACTTGAGCCCAGGAGTTCAAGTTACAGTAAGCTACGATCTCGCCTCTGCACTCCAACCTGAGCGACAGAGTGAGACCCTATCTCTAGAATTTAATAAAAACCACCACCACCACCCCTGACCCTGCCAAAAAAAA